AACATTCATTTTTCAGTCAGTTTATATACCTGAAATAATAAGAGCAAAACATTCATAATGAATGTATTGTATTTGTCAGTCATAGTGGATGACTGAATGTATATATACATTTGTTATAGTTTTTTAATATTTACCTGTCCGGTCCGGTTAAACCGGCGGTTTGCCGCAGGTAATCCGTTAACCGGACCGATTATTCTGGATTTTTAAAAAAATTAACCACCGGATTTTTTAAGGCTTTTTTAACTAACCATTTAACCGATCCACAGTCCGGATTGACGGTTTTTTTCGGTTAAAACTGGACCATGAACACCCCTAATGCCGATTAATTCGGATTTGAGCATCTCACCGACCTGTCTCTCAATCTCGACCTTTTGGGAATGGGCGTATCGATACAGGTGTACATGTACCGCTCGACTCTCGCCGATAAGAGGTATGCGGTGATTGTACGCCCGTCTTGGCGGTAGACCTTGGGGTTCGGTGAGCACCCCACTAAACTGGCTGAGCTCTTGAATCTCATCCTATTGTAGGTCGAACTCCTTTGCCTCCTCATGACTCGTGTCACCTATTACCGCAAAAATTTGGCTACCCCTCCCCCCTCCTTCCATAGTCGTTCTATGTTTTTTAGCCCAACTATTTTGATACCATCGTCTTGGTCTGTCTTCAATACGACCAAGCGGTTATCCGAGGTGACTCGACCTAGACCTTCGAGCCATTATACTCTGAGGACCACGTCTGGTCCGACTAAGGGTAGTGCATATAGGTCGACACTCACGGTTACTCCCTCCAACTTAATCGACACTCTTCGAAAATACTCTGAGCACCTCAATCGCTCGCCGTTGGCCACATGCACATTGGATGGTTCGACCTTGTTTGTGGGTAGATTAAGCTTTCGGGACATAGACGCGATTATAAAGTTGTGCGACGACCCTTGTCGACCAACACGACAACACGGCGATCTAGTACCCACACTGACAACCTCATTGTTCTCGGTCCTTTGGTACCGGCCATGGCGTGTATCTAAATCTCCAAGTATGACTCTTGAACCTCGACCTCAGGTTTGACCTCGTTGCTCACTGGCTCCTCGTTGTCAAACTCGACCAGCTCGATCATGAGCGCCTGCTTGCACCTATGACCTGGCGTGAACTTCTCGTCACAGTTGAAGCAAATTCCCTTCTCACATTGACGTTTCATCTCTTCATAGGTGAGCTTTCTATCCCCCAGTGGTGCGGGTCCGGGATTGCCTAATGGTAATCCGCTTATGCCTTGATTGACGAGGGATGTCGCTGGCATGATTCGACGTGGCTCCGAAGAACGCGGGTCTCCGCGCGCCAATACACGCACAACTGCTAAGTTTTCGTCTCTCATGCGTGCCGCTTCCATGGCATGCTGCATCGTCCTTCGAAACATACTTTAGCCGTGAGATCTGGCTTCAATCTGCATGTGAACGCCCCGACGAACGCTCCTTCCAGCCAGTCTCGCATGCGACTCGCCAATCGCTCTAACTCTTTTTTGGTAATCCCATAGATTTCCTATCAGGCGTACGCGAGACAACGCCTCATTGTAGTCATAATAATATGATGAGCCGAATCTTGTGATTAGTTCTCTCTCGAAATCCACCCAACGGATTGTCTCCTCACGCTTGTGGTATACGTGTGAGGGCCACTGCCACCACACTTTAGCCTCCCCATCTAGGTAATATGCGGCATATTTAACTCGATCGGCCCTCAGGGTATCGTTAAGGTCGAAGTATTGTTTTGCACGACTTAGCCAAGCGTCTGGATCTGTCCCGTCGAATATGGATAATACGAGCCTTGGCTTCTCGGCTCGCGTATTCGACCTAGACCTGTCCCATCGACCCTCGCGTATTCGACCTAGACCTGCCCCTTCCCGATGAACGCCGATCTGCTCGATTCCACCTTTGATTCATGGCGTGGAACATCTGCTCGAGTCGGGCCATCGTCTGATCATGCTGGTGTTGGCCTTCATCGATGCGTGATTCGAGGCATGACTGCCCCTCACTTAAACCCCCGATACGATCATCCAAGCCGTCGATCCTCTCACCGATAGCGTCGAACCTATCACGATCAGTAATGATGAAATAATATGCTTTTTTTTAATCTAAAAAGCTGGAAGTAAAATTAAGGAAGAAAAAGGGGATTCACGATCGGTTCTCTCAATGAAAGCACCAATGATAGAGATTGTGATCCCGACAACTATATTTGTCTCGGACGGACGCGCAATAGGCCTTCCTTCATCGACGATAGATTGCACAAACGACGCGCCTAGGCCTTCTTTTGCACAAGTGCGTATTAATACTTAAAGAAATACTAACACACTAAAGGTTTAATCAAAAGATCGGATTTTCATTATGAACTGAATTAAGAAAATTGAATTAACAATGCGGGTATTTAAAGGCAAAGTTAAAGCTAGTCCTAAAGGAATTAGAATTCGTAAACTATGGAAAGTAAATATTACTAGAATCCGAAAGATACCAGACTTATGTAAATGCCTAATAATCTAGGAAAATAAGAGAATAAATATCTAATCTAGAATCAGCCACAATCTTCTAGATCATTCTCGTAGCTTGCGGCTCACGGCTTAACGCGCATCATTCTGGCTGGCTTGACATACTCGGGCTGCACTCGTCCTCGTCATCATGGCGCGACATCTTCGGACTGCGCTTGTCCGCGTTATCTCTCGTGTCAGCCTTCTCGTGCGTTCGACCTGCGTAGTCTTCGACCCGTCCATGCTCGACTTTGCAAATGTCGACCTCGTCCCAACGAGCATCGACTTCGACCCTGCGAGCGTCGACCAACTATTCGTCCTCCTTGCGCTCTATCTTGCGAGTGTCTATCACGCGAGCTGGGCGTTCGACCCCGTGAGCCTCGACCTCGCGAGCTTTGTCTCTTGACCTTTCTGCTCGACCCTGCGGGCCTCGACCTCTCGACTGTTGACCCTTTCCCGCTCGAACCCGCGGGCTTCGACCTCTCGACCGTCAACCCTTGCCCGCTCGAGCCCGCGGGCTTCCTCCAACCGTGTCGCCCGCTTGCGCGCTCGATACGCGCGACATTAGGCATTTTTGAGTAAATCGAGCGCGACATTAGGCATTTTTGAGTAAATCGAGCGCGACATTAGGCATTTTTGAGTAGCCTGCCTTCATTCGCATTAGATTGGTTGAGTTTGGGGGTTAATTTTTTGTTTAATCCCTAT